CAACCTAAATCATGCATGCATCAGGGCCTAGGCGCTAAAACGTTCACAGGGAGCGTTTTAACGTCCTGGCATTTTTCGTAGTGCAAAATAGTGGAGCGCTAAAACGTTGGCTGGCAAGCGTTTTAGCGCTCCGGTAATTTCTGGTCAGGCATTTTTGCAAACACCTTGTGTGTGTGTGCAAATGTTAAGAGTGAAAACCGATTATGGGGGATTCCCTGCACCCCAAAAATGACACAAAAACAGAGGGATACACCAATCAATCACATGTTATCAACTATTAAAACATGGCATCATGAAGGAATTTAACACATAAAATCAAAATCTTATAAAACCTAAGATGAAGGGAAAACAATGGATGATGAACATAAGTGAACGGAAACAATGTAAAACCTAGGTACGAATCACATACCTTGAGAACACTTGTTGAATGCTATAGAAGTAGAAGGAGGAGAAGCAAAAGAGAGACACAATCGTGAGTGAAAGTGAGTGAAAGTGAGGGAACAACCGTGTAATTCAAAATAAGTGACGCGACGCTAAAATGTTGAAGCCCAACGTTTTAGCGCCCAGAACCAGAAAAATGTGCACACGTTTGTATGCAGCATCGCATTAAAACGATCAAGAAGAACGTTTTAGCGCTCTGGGCCAGAGTGCTTGCATTGTGATGCATTTGGGGAACGCTAAAACGGTCAAGCAGAACGTTTTAGCGCTCTGGGCCAGAGTTTTGCATTGTGATGCAACTCTAGACTACTAAAACATCCACGATGGAAAGTTTAAGCGCCCAACACTTGTCAATTAATTTTTTTTCATTTCCCAATTTTTTTATAATGTTTTTACATTAATCATATACTACATACCTGATATAGTGGGTTGCCTCCCACTCAGCGCGTGTTTAACGTCACGAGCCTGACGGTTCTTATCTATCTTACCTCCAACAGGGCAACTGTAATAAGTTTCCTGTCCACAGCACTTCCAATGTATAGCTTCAATCTCTGACCGTTGACAGTAAAGCCTCGGTCAGAATCCAAAGGACAAATTTCCACCGCTCCATAAGACTTCATATCCTTAACCACAAATGGTCCAGACCATCTGGACTTCAACTTTCCTGGGAATAGCTTCAACCTGGAATTGAATAGCAGAACTTGATTGCCCACCTTGAAATCCCTGGGTGTGATCTTCTTGTCATGCCATAGCTTGGTCTTTTCCTTGTATAAGCTTGCGCTTTCATATGCAGAAAGACGAAATTTATCCAGTTCATCCAATTGCAGTAATCTTTTCTCACCTGCTGCTTTGGAATCAAAGTTTAAAAACTTAACAGCCCACAATGCTCTATGTTCCAATCCCACAGGAAAATGACATGCTTTCCCAAATAACAACTGAAATGGAGACATTCCAATAGGAGTCTTGAATGCTGTCCGATATGCCCACAAAGTGTCATCAAGTTTCTTGGACCATTGAGTCCTAGCATTTCCAACAGTCTTTTCCAGTATTCGCTTAAGCTCTCTGTTAGAAATCTCAACTTGACCACAAGTTTGTGGATGGTACAAAGTACTTATCTTATGCCTGACTCCATACTTTGCAAGATCAACTTCTACCAGCCTGTTGTCAAAATGTGTTCCCCCATCACTGATTATGGCTCTCGGGACTCCATATCGCACAAAGATATTCTTTTTCAGAAAGGCGATCACAACCCGAGAATCATTAGTCTGTGTGGCTATGGCTTCAACCCATTTTGATACATAATCCACTGCCACCAGGATGTACTTGTTGGAGTAGGAAGAGGGAAATGGTCCCATGAAATCCATTCCCCAGACATCAAAGATTTCCACCTCCAGTATATTGTTTAATGGCATCTCATGTCTCCTGGAGATATTACCAGTCCTCTGACAGTTGTCACATGCTTCCACATACTTTCGTGCATCCTTGTACAGTGTTGGCCAATAGAAACCGCTTATTAAGACTTTTGTTGCAGTTCTTTCACCTGCAAAATGTCCACCATAGGCTGAACCATGGCAGTGCCATAAGACATCTTGTTGTTCCTCCTCCGGAATGCATATTCTGATTACCCCATCTGAACACCTATAGAAGAGGTATGGTTCATCCCAAATGTATCTCCTCACATCATGCAGAAATTTTTTCCTCTGTTGCCAGGTGAAATCCTTAGGCATTGCTCCAGCAGCTTTGTAATTTGCAAAATCGGCAAACCATGGTGGAGTGTTAATTGTCAAGACTTGATCTTTCACCAACTTGGAAACAGTGCTTATGGCCAGTATTTGCTCATCAGGAAACTCTTCTTTAATCACTACATCCGGTCCTTCTTGCAGATTTTTCTCTGTGATCCTGGATAAGTGATCAGCCACCAAGTTTTCAACTCCCTTTTTATCCTTAATTTCCACTTCAAACTCTTGCAGAAGTAACATCCATCGGAGTAACCTGGGCTTAGCATCCTGCTTAGTTAACAAATACTTCAAAGCTGCTTGGTCAGTGTAAACAATAACCTTTGACCCTAGCAGATATGACCTAAATTTGTCAAATGCATACACAATAGCCAATAACTCTTTTTCTGTAGTAGCATAATTCTTTTGTGCCTCATTAAGAATTTTACTGGCATAGTAAATGACATGCAATAATTTGTCCTTTCTTTGGCCTAGCACTACTCCCACAGCATAATCACTGGCATCACACATCAGTTCAAAAGGTAATGAAAAATCAGGTGCCATGATTATTGGTGCAGTGATCAACTTTTCTTTCAAAATATTAAATGCATGCAGGCAGTCATCAGTAAACACAAACTCTTGATCCTTTCCTAACAATTTGCATAAAGGTTTTGCAATTTTGGAAAAGTCTTTTATAAAGCGTCTATAAAACCCTGCATGACCAAGAAAACTTCTCACACCTTTAACATTTATGGGAGGGGGCAGTTTCTCAATAACAGAGATTTTGGCTTTATCCACTTCAATCCCTCTGTTGGACACCTTGTGTCCCAAAACAATACCCTCTGTCACCATGAAGTGACATTTCTCCCAGTTCAGCACAAGATTACAATCTTGGCATCTTTGTAAAACACTATCCAAAATTTCTAGACATGCATCAAAAGTAGGACCAAATACAGAAAAACCATCCATAAAAATTTCAATGCATCTTTCTACCATGTCAGAGAATATGGAAAGCATGCACCTTTGAAAAGTTGCTGGTGCATTACATAAGCCGAAAGGCATCATCCGGTATGCAAAGATTCCATATGGGCAAGTGAATGCAGTTTTCTCCTGATCTTCGGAGCCACAACTATCTGATTGTAGCCGGAGTATCCATCTAGAAAACAGTAGAAAGCATGTCCTGCCAATCTCTCCAACATTTGATCTAAAAATGGAATAGGGAAATGGTCTTTCCGTGTTGCTTTGTTGAGTCTCCGGTAGTCAATGCACATTCTCCAACCAGTGACTGTTCTTGTAGGGATTAGTTCATTGTTCTCATTCCTCACAACAGTCATTCCTCCTTTCTTAGGCACCGTCTGAACTGGACTCACCCAAGCACTATCTGAAATAGGATAAATCATTCCAGCATCAAGCAACTTCACCACTTCCTTCCTTACTACCTCCTTCATAGTAGGATTGAGTCTTCTCTGTGGTTGCCTCACTGGTTTGACTTCCTCTTCCATCAATATCTTATGAGTACAGAAGGAAGGGTTGATACCCTTAAGATCTGAAAATGACCAGCCCATGGCTGTCTTGTTCTTTTTGAGCACCTCAATCAACTTTACTTCCTCCCTTTCAGACAACAATGCATAGATAATGGCTGGGTATGTTTGATCATCTCCAAGGAACATATACTTAAGATTTGAAGGTAGTTCTTTAAGCTCCACCTTGGGTGCTCCCTTGGGAATGTCATCTACCTTCTTTTCCAACTCTTCAACTACCGGTTCCTCCTGATAATATTCCCCACTTGTCTCTTCCTTGAATTTGTCTTCCTCAAGTGAAGAGTCTTCTTCTCCTATCACTTCTTCCACAACCTCCTGTATGATATCAATTCTGAAACAATCCTCCAGATCAACAGGATGTTTAATGGCTTCAAACACATCTATTGTAACTGTTTCTTCATTCACCCTTAGCATCAACATTCCTTGTTCAACATCAATCAGGGATCTTGCAGTTGCTAAGAATGGTCTCCCTAGGAGTAGAGGACTTTCAGTATCCTCCTCTTCCATATCAAGTATTACGAAGTCCACAGGAAAAATGAATTTATCCACCTTGACCAGAACATCTTCTACCACCCCTTCTGGTCTCTTGATTGATCTATCTGCTAGATGCAGAATAACATTAGTATCTTTCAACTTGTTAATCCCCAAAGCTCTACAGACAGACAATGGCATCAAATTTATGCTAGCCCCCAAGTCACACAGTGCTTTTCCTACTTCCATATCTCCAATAGCAATAGGAATGCTGAAACTTCCTGGGTCTTTCAACTTTGGAGGAAGCTTCTTCTGAATCAGGGCACTACATTCCTCCGTTAAAGCCACAGTCTCACCATCTTTCAACTTCCTCTTCTTAGATAGAAAATCCTTCATGAATTTTGCATAGTGAGGCAAGCTCTCTAAGGCTTCAGCAAATGGAATGTTGATCTGCAATTTCTTGAAAATATCCAGAAACCTTGCATAATGCTGCTTCTGAATTTCTTGCTTCAACCTATGAGGATAGGGAACTTTGGCATATGGAGACAAATTAATTGGCTGGTCCTGCTTGTCAGCCATTTTCTTCTTCTCCCACTTCATCAACTTCTTGGGTGAAGAATTATTTTCAACTACTACCTCATCTTCTTTCTTATCTTTCTCAACTTTTTTTTCTTCTTCTTCTTTTTCAACTACAAAAATCTTCAACAACAACTTCTTCCTCATCTTTCTTTTCTTCCACTTTCTTCTTAACCGGTTGAAGCACAAGCCCACTTCTTGTAATTATGGACTTGCAATGCTCCTTTGGGTTCACCATGGTATCACCGGGGAACTTTCTCTATGGTCTCTTAGATATCTGTCTAGACAACTGGCCAATTTGGGTCTCCAAATTCTGGATGGATGCTTCCTGGTTCCTGAATGCTGTTTTTGTCTCTTGCATGAAAGTAGAAGTTTCTTCTCTGAAAGAATTTGACCCCTGAATATAATCTTGAGTAGTCTTTGATAACTGGGCAAAAGCTTTCTCCCATGCAGAGGTATCACCTTGTTGTGATGAATGTGTTGGAGGAGGATGCAGTGGAGGATTCAACTGATGATTGGAACTATAACTGAACCCTGGGTGCTGATTCCTATTCTTCCATGGTGGAACATACACATTTCGCCCCTGGTTGTTATGGTTCCTCTGATCATACCATACCCCATTTACTTCTGCTTGTTCAGCAGATCCCCTATAATCGCAATCATCTGTAACATGGCTTTTCGCACAAATTGCACACACAAGATTAGTGTCTACAGAAGCAACCTTTTGAGAAGATAGCTGCTTCGTGACAGCATCCAATTGTTGTTGTTGTTGTTTTTGCATTTGCATCATCTGATCATTCTTGGCTAACAAAGCATCATAGCCATCAAGTTTTATAATCCCCGTTCTTCTGTCATTTACTGGAGCATTGTCAAACTCCTGAGATGCTAGGGACTCAAATATGTCAAGGTCTTCCTGAGGAGTCTTGGTCGTTAGTGAACCACCAGCTGTGGCATTCACCAATGTCCTTGTGTTGGTTGTCAACCCTTGGAGAAATATTGCTGCTTGATTCCACACTTTAATACAATGTTGTGGACATTTCCTCAAAAGTTTCTTGAACCTCTACCAAGCCTTATAGATAGACTCTGACTCTTTTTGCTTGAACCCTGTAATATCATCTTTCAATTTCGCCCTCTTGGATACTGAAAAGAACCTGGTTAAGAACCTGGTTTGCAGATCATCCCAAGTTGTGATACTCCCTTGAGGTAATGATTGTAACCATCTTCTTGCATCATCCTTCAGTGAATGAGTGAACAACCTCAACAGAATAACATCTCTGGTCACACCATTGATCTTCACCGTATCACTCAACAGTAAGAAATTCTCAATGTTCAAATATGGGTCTTCTGCACTGGTTCCAGCAAACTGTTCCTTCTGCACCAATTGTACTAGTGCATGTTTCAACTCAAAGTTGTTGGGCTCCACTGTAGGTCGAACAACACTCCTTATTGGTGGAATAACAGTGGGAGTCATGTAATCTCCCAGTGTCCTCTGTGGTGGTGGCACATGATTTTCTGCCATAATCTCTTCTTGAATTGTCACACTAGATTCACCCCTTTCTTGTAACTGTCTTCGTCTTGCTGCCTTCCTGTTCTTCCTAATTCTCCTTTCTAATTCTGGGTCAAACAACAAAGAATTTGGATCAATAGTACCTCGCATACACCAGAATTGAAATTGAACAAAAATTCACACAAAAATATAAATTGCTGAAAAATAAAAGATTCAATCTCAAATATTTATGGTCTCTGTCAATGTTGAAGAACAAATCCCCGACAACGGCGTCAAAAACTTGTTGCAAATTTAGCAAGTGTACTAGTCGTACAAGTAATAAAATGATGAGTAAAGATCGTTCCCAGGAGGATTTGTGTTCAAACACTGACTAACGATATATAATTAAGTTGAATCAACCAAAAATTTATTGATTGCATTGATTATTGTAACCAGAAATTGAATTGTATTAAGATTTGATAAAACAAATAAACTGTGAATTATAATTTTAAAAACAAGTAGTCAGACATCAATATCCCTCAAGCATGAACTTATGTAAGAATCAATCCTATTATGAATTATCTCTCATGTGATGTTAATCAACCTTTTTCTTATCATCAAGATGTAATCCCTTACTATCCTGATTTATACATTAATCAGAAACCCCAATCCCTTGGTGATTCCCTTCTTAATACATGCATTAAATACTAAGATCTTAAAGATTACATCAGAATCCTAGTATCAATCCCTTGAATACTAAAACACTGATGATGAAATTGTCAGTTACAGGAATAATGTAAACATCCCTGTTCTACACTACTCCCTTGATGGAAAGAATTGATACAGACAACTTCATATCATCACATAAACATAATATTCAAATCAACCATACATAAATTCATCCTTGAGTTCCATTGACATCAGACTACAAAGGACTCTACTCAGACATAATAAAAGAAATAACAAGAGAAGAGGAAAGATCAAACTCCATTGTCATGATGGTTGAGTCTTCAATCTTCAATTACAATTACATAAAATGTACTAACTATTACAAGAACTAAATCCTAAAGAATTTGAAAAGTCAGAGAAAGCGAAGAGTCAGATCAGAGGATCTGAGATAGGATAGGATGGAATATGTCCAAATGTGAAGGCCCGTGCCTTTTATAGAGTTACAAAATACAACTGAATAACAACCAGAAACTGACATGGGCGCTAAAACGTTCATTGTTGGACGTTTTAGCGTTCATGTTTGACGGATGTCCAACTGCTTTTAACTGTCTTTAACGCGAAAACGTTTGACTTGGACGTTTTAGCGTTCCAGACCAGAGTCTTTTCCAACAGTAGAGCGCTAAAACGTTTGATCAGGAAGTTTTAGCGCTCAAGACCAGAATCTTTTCCCACAGCAGAGCGCTAAAACCCTTGCATTGGACGTTTTAGCGCTCAACACTTAGCATTTTCCATTCTTCAAAATCTTCTTCCTTCTCTCATTTGCTTCTTTGAGCTTCATTTCCCTACAAGAACAATGTAAATTTTCAACAAAGCTTACAGAACTTGTATTTGAGGGCTTTCCAGGACATTAACCTCTTTTCCATCCATTTCATCACACAAATTGATACTAATTCATGCTTAAAAACTGATGAACTAAGGGTTTATCAGAGCATGCAGATCATTCGAGAATGGTATTGCAAATTATGAAAGAGAAGCAATTGTATGCTAAGTTATCTAAATGTGACTTCTGGCTGGCTGAAGTGAATTTTTTGGGTTTTGTTATTTCTGCTGAGGGAGTGGCAGTTGATCCAAGTAAGATAAAGGCGGTAATAGACTGGGAAAGACCCACTACTATGACAGAAATTAGAAGTTTTCTACCGGATATTTATATATGGATTTTCTACAATGGTGTTACCATTGACCCGTTTGACGAGGAAAGATACTCCGTTTGTATGGAACCATGAGTGTGAGAATGCTTTTGGGATCTGAATAAGAAGTTGACGACGACTAAAGTGCCGATTCTTCCTGATTCGGAAGGAAAGTTTGAGTTATACTGTAATACTTCGAAGAAGGGGCTGGGTTGTGTGCTGATGCAAGAAAGGAGAGTTGTGGCTTATGCCTTTCGACAATTGAAACCACATAAAGAGAATTATCCGACTCACTATTTGGAGCTTGCTGCTATAGTATTCGCTCTGAAAATCTGGAGACATTTCCTGTATGGGATAAATTTTGCTGTGTTCAGTGATCATAAAAACTTGAAATATTTGTTTGATCAGAAAGAGCTGAACATGATAAAGAGGTGCTGGGTGAAATTCTTAATAGATTATGATTTTGAGTTAAAATATTATCCGGGTAAGGCTAATGTAGTGGCAGATGCATGGAGCAGGAAATCTGCTGCACGCTCCTAAGATTATGATTCCATTGGATAATTATGGACAGGTTGACAAAGTCTGCACACTTTCTGCCAGTACGAGTGGATTTCTTTGCGGGTAAGTTAGCTCGCTCTATGTGAAGGAGATTGTGAGGCTTCATTGAGTGCCTAAGAGCATTGTTAGCGATCGGGACCCAAAGTTCACTTCTCGCTTCTGGAAAGAATTGCAGGTGTGGTGGCTTTTAGCACTCAGTTGAAACTGAGTACTACTTATTATTTGCAGACAGATGGTTAGACTAAGGGGACCATTCAGACGTTGGAATATATGTTGAGGGCTTGTACTCTTGAGCAGGGTACTGCATGGATGAGTATCTTCCACTAGTGGAATTCTTATACAATAATAGTTTCTATGCTAGTTTGGATATGGATCCCTACGAGGCTTTGTATGGTCGAAGGTTTAGAACACCAACCTGTTGGTCTGAGGTTGGAGACAAAGAATGGTTTGGGCTACATTTTGTAAATGAGACAACAAAGCAAGTTAAAATTAACAAAGATTGATTGAAGAAGGAAAAGAGTCGTTGATGGTCCTCAAAAGTTGAGGCCCATTAAGTGTAAATTATTCCACAAAATCCATGTTTGGTTATAAATCACTCCCCTCAACCTTTTTCTTTCCAAATAGAGCAACTGTTTTGAATAGTGGACCAGAGCAATACCGAAAATGGGAATTAAGGTAGACCTGGAGCAAATTTAACATTAACTTTTTCACATATGACTATTGGGTTAGTTTGCTTTGTTCAGGACACCTAAGGCCATCAGAAGGAACCATAAAATGAAGAGAGAAGAAGGAGGGTTGCGCAGAAAGGAAAAACCTGCTGTAGTACAACAGCAGTCAAAGAAGGAAATGGGAAGCCGCCACGTCAGCCACAACAGAGAAGGTGGAGGTGCTACCTCTGCTACAGTACGGAAGCAAGGGAGCTGAGCAATCAAAAGAAGCCACGTCAGCTGCAGCAGAAGGAGTGGAGGTGCCTCCCTGAATCCGATACTCCTACTCATAAAAGGAGCCAAAAGCAAGGGGGACCACTTCCATTTAAGGCCAAGCTGGCAAGAAGCAAGGCTACGATTGGAGAGGATTTAGACAAAGCACGACCCTTGATGAAAGGAACAATGTAGATCAAATGAAGAACCCTATAAAAGAAACAAGCAATCCTCATAAAGGGGATCATCAGCGCCCATCCTAGGACTCGTTATCTCTTTGTTTTCTTTTTGTAAAAATGCTCACTAGGAGCTAACTTCCTCTAAGTAGGTGAGGGTTCCATAAAAGTAATCCCTTTTGTCTTAGGATAACTTTGTAAGGAACACATATTTTATAAATGAATTTTGAGTTGCTCTTTGGTTTAATTTATTGATTTTGTGAAACCCTTTGGGCTGGCAACCTCATCCCGGGTCCACTCGGTTGATGAAACACTGACAAAGGCGTGTGGAGCATTCTCAAAATCCTGGGGTAGTTTAGCCTGAAGAAAGGAGGGAGAAACACCTGGAATGGGGAGCACTGCCATGTGAATCCATGCTCTTTTGAGAAGGCAGCATGGTTTCCTTGCATATAACTCCAAGTACTATGGAGTAACGTGGAGAGTAGGGCCCTACCCTCTGCTTACCTATAGCAAAACAAGGGAAGGAGCAAAATCCACTTGTAAAATATGCTACCAAGCAGGGTTAACCAAAAGGATGAAAACATGGAACCCGTGACACTTTCTTGACTTTTTCTGAAATTAATCTTAATTCAAACTTCTATCACAACCTTTCCCTCACGATAACTGAACTGTGTTTTACCAGCTGATGCTCTTACTTTTATTTCGTTGACTGCTCTTGAGGTTACTTAAATTGATGTTTTTTTTTATTCGATGACCGTGCTAAGTCATTCACTGCGCTCATCTGGTTCAGAATGGTTAACATTGTTTATCTAGCTGCCCAGTGATTGCTCTTTGCGAAGCTTAGCTGAGAATAGTACTTTCTTTTATTGCTCCATTTTACAAATTAAGTTTCCTTTAGCGTTTCTTACTTCACAACTGCTCCCTGAGGACGATAAATCTGGGGCTACAATACCCTATATTGCTTGACACGTACGCTTGCGTATAGTTGAAGAGGGTTGCTCTTAGTCAGAGTAGATTGTTCCTGTTGGCAATCCTGATTATTACTCTGCACTCTTGCTCTCAGAAAAGATATTCCCGAGCAGCTCTCGGTTCGACCAAGCAATTGGCGCCGTTGCCGGGGATCATTTGGCAAGAAAGGGCATTTTTAAGGAAACATTTTTGTTATTTAATTGCAGTCTTTTTGTTTTGATAGACCTCCTCCATTTGTATGAGCACAGAACCTACAGAACTTGGACTGGAAATAGTACTTTTTGATCCAGAACCCGAGAGAACCTTCAGAAATAGAAGAAGAGTACAAAGGTTGAGAAACATTACAATGGAGGGGGTAGTGAACAATGATAACAATGGAAATCATAATCATGAGCAAGGACCGAATGAAGGAAGAGGGCCATCATTGAATGATATGGCTGCTCCCTTCAGAAATGGTCCAGAACGAGGCTATGTTCCCCCTCCTTTGAATATCCCGAACTTTGAAATAAAACCTGCAATGTTCCAAATGATTATGAACGCTGGTCAGTTCCATGGACTACCCATGGAAGACCCTCACAGTCATTTGGACAATTTCACTGAGATAGTTGATAATTTCAAAGTTCATGGTATTTCGGAAGAAAACATGCGGATGCGGCTTTTTCCATTTTCCTTAGCTGGAAAAGCCAAAGAGT